TCCTCCACAACTAGACTGAAGAACAAAAGGACAGCAACTTGTCTGTTCCCCTTCCCCCAATTCCCCAGCACTGTTCCCATCCCCCAGTTCCCCAATAAAAATCTTAAAAAAAAGAGAACATATGAATGGAAAATTAAGAGATGATTCGAAAGCATTGATATGGTTTAAATATATTTTGTGAACAATAGGGCTATATGACGCTGTTTTTTTGTACCCTCTACTTTGTATGCAGAACAAGTAAATCCAGTACAAGTGAAATGTATCTAGCTTTTTCTGTATGTAATAAGGCAAAGTGTCAGCTTAGTTGATAAAGTGTAGAGAGAGTGGATGATATGGTTTTATAGGTCATTCTTGAATAAAATGCACTTCTGATAAGGTATCTCTCAGCAAGGTAATATCCAATAGGTGTTATTATTTAGTTTTAATATATTTTGAAAGACATGCTTTTAAGGAGCTAAAAACCCCCAAAGCATGTAAAACTAAAAATCATAAAATATGTTTACTGACAGAGACACCTTCCTTGTCAGTATACAGTCTATGCATATTTAAATGATAACATATTTTGTGCTTGTTTAGGGCTTTATTTCAAAGCTTTTGATGATTTCATACTATGGTATATTTTGATAATCACAAAATCCCTACTAGAAATATAGAAATTCAGGCCAGAACGATAGGTTCTCATTAGAAAAACTGCAGGGCAGAGCAGACCATGTTTGGCAGTCAACTTTACAAGGTAATTCATGAGAGGGAGACCTGGGGTTTTAATTGTTCACAAGCTCCGTATGAGCCAACTGAGTTTGATGTGGGCCTTTTCATGTTAAGGACATCTGGAGAAATGCTTCCATTATATGCTTCATATTATTAGAATAACTTTGAAAAAGTTAAACAGATTTAGAAGAGGGTGGCTGGATGGTGAGCTTCTGGAAACCAAAGTAGATAAATGACTGAATCAGGGCAGCAAAACCATATGCCTATTAGGGCCAATAGTTTCTGCAAATGAGTACAACAGGGCTGGTGCCCGCCAGTAGGGAGAGGTGGGGATTGTGGCCTGTGAAGTACACGCTACCTCCAGAGTCGGCAGTCTTACCCAACTTTAGACAATTCTTGGCATTCAGGAATGTTGGTTCAATGTTGCCCAGCTTTGTATTTTTCCAGAGGAGTCAGACATTTGGGTTTCTAGTTAATATTTACCAATTTTTCAAATATTTTGTGGGCCAAGCAGAAAACACTGATGTGGGATCTCGCTGGCTGCTGCCAGCCCATTTGGAATGTGCGGGGTAAATAAACTTGCTGCAGTTTAGCTTAGAATAGAGTGGGGACTGCCCCAGAGGGTAAAACAAATTGTTTAAGGACACCCAAACAGAAAGTGGAAGAACTAGATCCAGAATCTGGGTCTTGTGATGTGTGTTCTTTTCCTTTTTCCATGACCCTTATTACTCAACTCTGCAAGAAGCTGGTCAAGTAGACAGTTAATGAAATAAGGTTGCCCATGCATTTGAAAGTCCATAGATATGAAAACTAAGCATGAAATAAAATTGTTCTGGTTGGGTCCAGATAGTATGCATTTTTAAATTTTTTTAAATTTTTTTAAATTTTTATTTTTTGGTGTAAAGAATGGTTACTGTATGAGCCAAAGGAAAACACCCAAATAAAAGATATTGGATGTTGAAAATCCATTTTATGACTTTCATTTTGACCACAGCTTGGCCTTTGGATTAGAACATAATCCAAATATTTTATATATATATTTATATTTTATATAAATTTATATATANGGTTGACCGCGGGTAACTGAAACCACAGAAAGGGAAGCCACAGATAAGGGGGACTACTGTACTTTCAGTTGAAGCAAGAGGAAAAATTGAGGCACTTCGTTGAACTTTTGGGGACTTTTAAACGTTTGCTTTTTCATGCCCCATGGCCAGACTCTTCTTTTCGATCAGGTCCTTATTGGACATGGAGAAAGTGTGAAATCAGGGGAGGAAAAGGGCATGCAACGGGGAGGGGATAGGAGTGGGGGGAGCGGGGACGTTCACTTGGCTGAAGAAAGAATATTTTAAACGATAGGTCTGCCATATTCTTCCCCCAATCAATTTGATTGAAAAGCAGAAATGCTACTTTTTAAAACATAGTTCATTTGTAATTTGCCATGACAATATAACATGGAAAACAATAAGGCTACCCCATCCATGTAGGCATTTCCAGGGTGACGCTTTGGCAAAAATGTAGACCTGCAATGATTCAGGTGATGTTTGCTTTCAACCAGGTTCAAAAATCGTGGCTCTGAATATTTCCAAAAGTTTGAACATTTTCTTGTATCTTCTTAGAGTCAGGCATTCAGAGGTACATGTTGGTTCTAATAGCTTTGGTAGAAACATGCTAAAAATAGAAATGAATGTAAAATACTTTGTCTTTAGGCTAATTTGGTATGGATTTGTAAGGCCTGAGTAAACTGGTAAATTAGTAAATTTCTTAATACAAATGAATGTAAGACACGTAGGTAGAATAGCAGATTCAGAAAGAGAGGTTTGTATTGTATTCCCATGTTTTGTAAAAGACATTAAGTAAGGCCACCAGTTCAAGAACCAAGAGCCCCTTTTGGTTTTCCTGTGATGGTTCCCTATCAGCTTCATGTTCATGGGAGGGGGGAGATGCAAGATGGCTTTTGGCTTTGTTCCCAACATGGTCAGCAGTAGCACTGGCTGAAACATGGGCTCAGCATTCTCATAGAGTGTGCAACGTGGACGCTTCTGGCTGGTAGGGAGGACGTGGCAGCTGGCTGGCTAGTGTGCTGTGCTGGGAGCTCACAGGGTGGAGAAGAAGCCTCTGTGTGAAGTGATTTCCTCTCTGGTCATCCCCTCCTGATTGGCTTGAGCTTGGTCGTGGAGGTTGGCTGCCATTCTCACCCTTCGATGGGGTGGAGGTGGGTCTCGAGCCACCTCAGCTAATTGAACAGCAGCTGTTACACTCGGAGCAGCGTTTCTTCTTTTTCTTGGGGTGGAAAATGGTGAGGATTGCTTCATCAAACACAGCCTTGAGACCTTTCTGAGTCAGTGCTGAGCATTCCAAGTAGCACTGTGCTCCGATCTTAAACACAAAAGAGAGAAATGCATGAGAGGGGAAACAGAGAGAAAAGCACAGTGGTGTCAGCCCTCTGCCCGCCCAGGGCTGCGGCTGTTTGTTCCACAGGCAGCCTGAGGGTGGTTTACAGTATGTTGCTTTCTATTTGTTTGTTTTGCATTGCAGTTTACATCCGCTATCCTGATTTTTAAAAAAAAATTTTCATATTTTTCACTTTCTGATATTAACAATAAATGGTGTGGATCACTTTTGATAAGCAATAAATTTTGAAAGTGATTCATAACCACTTATTCCTAATAAAAGAACATATGAGGGCCGGCTGAGTGGCGAGATGGTTAAGAACTGGCTTGGGA